CTGCTGATCAGCTGAGTAATGCTCTTCCCAGGCCTGCTGTCCTGTTTGGAAAGAGGTCCTTCCCAGCCAGGTCTGAGCTCCCAGCCAGCTGCAGGACCTGCGTGTTCCTGGCAGTGTAGGCCCTTTGCTGGCCAGCAGTAACACCTATACCTCTTCTCCATACACAGCCTGCTAGCCCCAAAATTTCTCTGTTTGCAGTCTGACAAAGAAGGATTTTACCTTTACTTAGAGCCCTTATTACAGTACACAGTTAATCTCTGTTCCTCTTTCTCCTTTCGCTTCATCCATTTAATAAGGGGCTGGGCTTTTCTGAGTCTGATGAAAGCTCCCCCTTGACTTCCAACAGAAAATATTGTCAAGTGTTATCTGATAATTCTGCAAGAATAATTTTTTGGACAACATCCTTCCAAAACATATTACATCTGCCCTGTCTAGTAACAAGCTGTGCCTGGTCCCATGATTTCCTAAGCTCCTTCCTTGCAGAACAGCAGCATTTATCTTGAAAGGTGAGGCAGCTGAAAAAGTGAATAAAAATGCAATGTAAAGACACATCTGGCTCAGGAAATCTCTGATCCAAAGACAACTGGAGCCTTGGAAGTTATTTGGAGGCAAACGCCATGCTATACTTGCACTCCTCTAATTCCCTTCCCTGGGCATCCCATTGCCTACTGTCAGGAGAGGATCGTGGTTTATGTGGGTTTTTTTGGTCTGAACCAGTGCAGTTTTGTAAGCACAGTGGGACTGACTTAGACCCCAGGTCGGCGGTTCCCTGGCCATGCAGTATTCGCTCTTAGTACTGTTGGAGCCTTTCTGATGTGGAAGTCTCTGACAAATTGCAGAAAGTGGGAATTCAGGTGGGAATTCAAATTTGCTAGGGATCAAGTGGGTTTTCTCTTTTCAGGCTGCTACATTACAGTGAAGAAAGACAAGGAATTAGTGGCCAGGTGATTTGAGGACTCAGTGGATTTTGAGTACTCAGCAGGTAGACTGAGATTTTCCTCTTACTCTTTGGCAGTCCTCCTCATCGACACAGGACCTCGACTTGCTATTTGTATCTGTAGCACATGGACACTTAAGTAATTGCTTTCCTACTGAATGCCTCGTTTCCCAACTTAAAGAGCAGTAAGGCTCAATTTTACATGTGCCACATTTTTGATGTAAAATTGTGTCGTTGGCAAAGAAATAGGGCCATCGGTTGAACCATGTTTTATAAACTTGTGTGTTCTTAGTTTCCCTTCTAATGCCAAAGGGATTTTCTTAATTTTCCCCAGTGTGTTGGATGCAAAAAAACCCCACAATGCTTCACGTTAACCAGTTGATTCACCTTTTGTTTGCTTGAACACAAACTCTTAAAATCACTGTTTTGATAAATAAGCGTTGAGATGCTCTGGGACTGAACCAGTGGTTTTGCTCTCAGAGTTGACTTCAGTATACAATGAAGACAGTTGTCAACTCGTGCCGGATGCCGATGCAGTGCCCAAACGGTGGGAGCTGCAGGGTACGCTGCAGCAGGCTGATCTGGTCTCTGGCAGACTTGACGTTCATCACAGAAGTGCTGCAAGCCGCTGGGTTAGTTTATTTGGAGACTAGTCTTTTGCTCTTGTGCTGGGGTCCACTGCAAAGGTTTCAGTTTAGGGGACAGGAAAGAGGTGACATGACAGTGGAAATCTATAAAATAGTGGTTATTTGGAAATTAGTGCCTTTTTCGTACTCTGTGCTTGTTTGCTGATTGTGCAGAGATTTCTTTGCAAATATTCAGATACCCTTAAATAAAGCAAATGTTGATAACGTGTATTTTTTGTTTGCTTTCTGATCGATGCAGCTTATAAAACGTGATGATTTCTATTGGTAGAAAGTACAGAAGGAGGTCATTGTGATACAAAGAACTATTAGCAAATGATACACGACTTGAGATTTTTCAACTTCATTTTACAACGTTCTTCGCTTTTTGGATCTGCCAGTAAGATTTCTTGCTGAGCTCTTTGAGGGGATTGATTTGTCTTGTGAAGCTTTGGAGAAACAAGAACAAGGCAGAGAAGATGTAAATAGTTTTTTTGTTGGCTTGTTTGTTTTTGTTTTACCACTGATCGATCTTACTAAAGACCTCAATAATGGTCAAACCTTGTTTAACCGAACAGTATTTTTGCTTGAAGAGCCAAGATTTTACCCTGTAATAGTCACTTAAAGTTTGTTTAAGTCTGTTCTTATAAATATACGAAGATGTAATAAAGGCACCACAACTGTCCCACCATTTAAATACGGTTATTAGTTCAGTTTCCAAGGGAATTATGGCTGGAAGCAGTATGCTCCAGCGTGGGATTATATTACAACTTTTTCATTCCACAGTGGTATCAGAATCCAAACTGTGCCTCTATTTGGTTTATTAATTTGTTTTTCTGAACATTTGCAGAATTGTAATATCCTAGTTTTGCCAAAATCGGACCTCAGTTTGGCAGACTTTTCTTTTATCAATTCCAGTTGTTCTTCCACAACCCTTTGAGGATTTTCTTTTCATGTAGTCAATACTCTGTGTATTCCATCATGCACTCAATTAGAGGACACGTCAAATACATCTGTATTTAAACACAAACTATGTACTTCTCTCTTATTTTTGGCCCAGGCTAGGTTTTGCTCTACGTTAAGTATTTTGGAATGACAAATGCTCACAGTACAGTATAGCATCTAAATTGTAGTGGTTTGTGTTATGATTACAGTGTTGTCATGGTAATATAGTTTCTGCAAATGAAAAGCCAGGGTTCACATATGTAGTTCTTACAAATCCTGGAAGGCCTGGGATGGGTCAATTAGTCATACATTTTATAGCATCCCACATACAATAAGGTTTCCTAAGTCTTAGCAAGGCATAGTATTAAGTAGAATTAGCTGGGAATTCTTAAGAAAGCACTGTTTCGAAAAAAGGCAAATGTAGTAGTTGGATTTTAAAATACTTTGTCTTTCTTGTTTAAGAGAATTACCCTTTGCACTGCATCTAACACACGTTAGCTCATTTGGGTCAGCTAAACTGTGTCGGTACACCACCCATGTAACGTGAGCTTTGTAGGGAGAATGGCGTACTGCAGTGGGAAGTTACGTGTGCTCCCTTCTGAACAATCTTCAGATATGGAGTGGGATAAAGAAAATGCACTTTAAAAGATAGTAATTGGGAAAGTCCATTTCTGAAAGAACAGAGCTGAAAGAAGTACACTTAGTTTTACATACTTAAAACATCCAGTAGTGTTCAAGGGTCTGATAGCCCAAACAGCTAAGTTTCTTGCCAAAAGTGTCTGATGAACCAGAGCTGGGTGCTGGCCGTCTGCCGTTGTTGCCAGTTGCTTCCCTTGGCCATTAGGCATTTCCCTTCCCCATGCCGGGTTAGTCTCCACTGGCCAACAGCCACTGCGGTTCCACCAGGGGCACGAGCTCTGTCAGAAACTCTAGATCCAGACTGGAAGTGATGCTGCAAGCTGGTGCCAGGGTGGCAGAGAAATAATAACACATAGTGCACAATACAGTATCCATTTTGTCATTATAATACTCATATTTTTATTTTTCTTCTGTTATATCTTGTTATTTTTCTTTTGCTATATCTTAGACCTCATTAAATGCAGAAACCTCATTTAATCTAACTGCGAACTTTAGCTATTTTCTTAGTTTCTTGATCCAGTAAAATTTGTTTCTGAAGTGTAATTGTCTCTATATTAAGAACAGATTTTTGATGGACAGGAATGCTTGTTCAAGTGCCTGAACAAGTTGGGAACAAAAATGTGAAGCTTTTAATGAATAACTATTGGTGTCTTTTTTACCTGTGCATATGCAGTCTATGAGTCTGATAGAGATCGGGAACCCTTCGCAAAGTCTGGAAAACGTGTGTCGCTGGGCCTACTTGCAACAGAAACCTGACACTGGGCATGCAGAATATCACGACCATGCTATCTTTCTCACAAGGCAGGATTTTGGTCCATCTGGCATGCAAGGTAAGATGTTCATCAGGTTTTATTCTGTAAACGTCAAGGCTTCTGAGCAGCATTTGTGTTTATCGCTTAGCAAGGCTAGTTAGGCAAAGTTTAATTGTGTCTCTTTCGCTTAGTTTTGGTCAACATTTTCTTTCCCCAGGAGCTCTGCACATGACCATTTTCAGTTGTAACTGTTTAACTTATTATTTTATCCTTTCTTACTGGTGGAATAATTTATTGGATCATTTCTTTGCTCTTAGTGAAGCCAAGCAAATGGGATCCCTATATAAACAGTCCTGAAAAATACCCAAAGATTAAAGAGTAGATTGTATGTTTAAAAAGCCTCCAAAGCTGTTGCCGTGTTCCAGCAGGATTGCCAAGAAATATTGTTACGGAGAGGTCTGGAACAGCAGGGCCAAGTGCTGTCCACTTTTTCCTTTTTTCAGGGCTCTGCCTCCTGTGAGATGAGGTTTGTTCACTGGAGGGGATAAATCTCAGAGCGTTCCCGTTCCTTTCGGGTTGGCCAGATCAGGGTTGTCAGCACAGGGCTGGGGCTTTGCTCATGTGTTCCCCGGGGGCTGGAACTGCACCGAGCTCCTCGTGAGCTGTAACACAGCAGCATGCGGTGGCCTTTTCCCCTGTTGCCTCGTGCACTTGGAGAAGGCAATGGCATGATGCTCCTAGAGGTGACAACAGTTTTCTTGGTGACCCAGGAATATAGTTTCAATTTGTTCAACAGGCTGGTTTCATCTGTTTCATAGATGAGGGAGCACATTATTACATGCTTGGGGGGCAGAGGTCTCTTGAGAGGACCTCGTGTACTATATTTGTGTCGGAACAGAAGACAGATGTTTGTCCTAGAGCTCCTCACCACATTGACTTTCCATGCTTGTTCACTTTCTGGAACACGTGGTATTTCTCACAGGCTACGCTCCAGTCACTGGAATGTGTCACCCTGTTCGAAGCTGCACTCTCAACCATGAAGATGGTTTTTCATCTGCATTTGTGGTGGCTCACGAAACTGGACATGTGTGAGTAGAACTGTGGACATCCTGTGTCCTACCTTGTAATGTCTTTGGTACTGATGAATACCAATGACATGGGAAAGATGCAATTTCTGTTAAGAAACAATATTCAGGGTTAGCCCTGGCTTCAGGTCTCAGCTCTCTCAAGGCTTTCTTTATGATCTTCAGTAAGCTTTATATTTTAGTATTTTCAAATGGAAAAGGGAACTAATACCAAAATACCTTCCAGGGCTGCTGTGAGAGGAGATTGAATGATGTATTATAGTCTCCTGGTGGAAATGTAAAGTACTTATAATGATGAAATATGAATTAATTGAGTCAGTGGAATACATGATTCTTGAAAACAATCCATATTAAATAAGCACATAGTCTCTATATGTTACTGCTGGTAAAGGATACAATAGTGTATTGAAACAAAGTGCCAAGCACTGAGGTTACAACTGTTCTATATATATTTCATAAAAAAATGCAATCATTTTACTTAATGATGTGATTAGAACCAATGACCAGGCAGCAGTTCTCAGAGCTTTGATTTCTCCCAGAGCATTTTGGTTTCCCTGTTCTCAGAGAACACCTCCTGATTCCCATTTTCTCTTTGGTAGAACAGTTCCCAGAAGGCTTTTTGTGAACAGTTTCAATCTATTCTGTTTTCCCTAAGAAAACCTGCAGGCCCTTTTCTCTTTGTTGTATCAGAAATTATTAAGGACTTTAATGAAAAAAATTGCCCAAGTTTATTGAATCTCGCTGTAAACGTGTCTTAATTAGACAGGGACATAGAAATTGATACCCAGATGATTTTGAAGAATTTTTGCAGAATTTTTGAATTATGATTAAAAAGTACACAGTGAGCCTTGAAAGAGATACCACTGAAGAATGTTTGTAATTCCTTAAATCGCATTCAACCCCCATCTGTTAATTTCATTTAAATTATGGACAGATATCACCCATATTAGTCAAACAGTGATCATTAAAAAATGCAATATAAGATATTAACAAAGGGAAGGAGAAAATATAGTCATAATAAAGCCAAAAAGAAATTTTAAAATATCTGTAACTTGGGGTAATTTTCTAGGAAGCACCCAATGCTTTCCAGGCTTTTTCACATTTAAACAGTGTGGGATTGCTACTGGGCAATAGCAGCAGCTAGTCTAAACTAGCTTGCAGTATGGCTTCTTTCTTTTCCATGCAAAGGACTTGTCTGCAATTGCAAATTACTTCAAATTAAGCTAAGATGTGATTTTTTAAAAGTTAGATAAACTCCTGAATAGCTCCAGATTGGAGTATGAATAAATTTCTGTTAATACTCCTGGAGCAGGGGGGGGACTAGATCCTTAATCCAGAAATGGATTCATTTAGCCGTAGTTATTCACAAAAGTGGATGTGCACAGAAGCCCAAAGAAAGCATTTTTAGTCTATTTTGAAAGTGGATTAAGCTCATCACATGAAAGTACTCTTGAGGGTCAGTGCTTCTATGTGGGAGCTACTACAGACTGGCTCTTTAGCTTCAGTCTCACCCTGTCTTATTTCTTACGACTTTGCTCATGTGGACGAGGGTCATGGGACTTAGGAACCTTGGTGCCAGCAGCTACTGGTGATGTGGAAGCGCCTGGGCACTCAGAGTTCACCTGCGATGTAACTGTGCTGGCTCTCTCCTCTGCGGGGCAGTTTAGGCATGGAGCACGATGGCCAAGGGAACAGATGTGGGGACGAAGTCCGCCTGGGAAGCATCATGGCCCCCCTCGTGCAAGCCGCGTTTCATCGCTTCCACTGGTCTCGTTGCAGCCAGCAAGAGCTGAATCGATATCTCCAGTGAGTAGCTGTTAAGCAGCCTCTCTCCTTTGGTTAGGAAGCATGTAAGAACAATTCTGCATCTGGCATGTGTTCTTTCTTCTTTTGGTAGTTACTCAAATGGGATTGAATAAAACAAAGAGTCCTCCCCATCCTGTTGGGAACGAGATGCTTTCCCATCAATTGCAAATAATAAACCAAGTTCTCAATTAGTTTGATTTCAGTTCGTTTCAAATTGTTCTCAGTTCATTTAATTTACGTCTATCTGTTTTCTGGACACTGATAGTATATGCTGTCCTCTCAGGGGTTATGAGAAGACACTACTTCTAATCTCATTGCTAACTTTCCTTCCTCCCTAATGTATCCTCTAGCTGCAGAAGTGCCTGTGCTACCCAGCAGCGTGGTGTCTATCTTACAGATACCAAATTTGGCTTCAAGGGCCGTTTGTTGCTTATGATAGCTGTCAGCGATAAGATGGTGCTGCCTTAAGAGGAAATTCTGCCCTTTTAAGTGCTCAGGGCTTTCCTTGACTTTAATAGATATCGAAAAAAAGGCTGTGGTTCTAGAATTAATTCTTCAATTTTCCTTCAAGTACCCTGTATGCCAAAGCTGTTTAAACAGCTTCATCCATGTCCCTTTCCTTCCCTTTGAACCTCACACTTTGGGCACTAGACCCACGCTGGAGTTCCCTGCCAAATGTTGATGTTTATGACCATATTTTTGCTCCTTATAGAAAGAATCTTCCTCTTTTTGTTATGTGCAAGCTGTACAGAAAAACATGGGGAAACTTCTAGGATACCTAGCAAAAACTGAAAAATGAGTAGGAAAGAATGCAGCAAAATACATGAAGTAAACATGAGACAGTCTTTTTGTCAATATTTTTATTATCTTAGGTATGAGAATACGGAATAAAAATACTGTGAGGGAAGCATGATTGTTTCAATTAGCAAGATCCTTTAGGGCTTTAGCCATTAAATAAAAATCATCTGGCCTAGAGGGCTGCTTTACATCCTTTTAAATGCAGCTATTTTTAAATATCTTATAACAAAGCAGAACGATGGTTTGCTTTGAAGTAAGTCTAACCTCAAAATTCTGCTTTCAGCTCTTGGTATCTTCAAGGCAACCTGAACGATTGCCAGAATAGACTCATGTACGGTGTCCTCATGTCTGTTAAATAACCCGGAGACATTTCAGAGATACTGTTGGTCATGTTGGTCTCGTGAATTAACCGATGACGATACCACGTTAACCATTCAGTGATATTAGCATCAGTCCGCTGTTCTCCACGTGACTTAGTCAGCAATGTTGCAGGCTGTCCTCATGATTCAGGGCAAGAGGAGAAACTCCCATGTTCATCAGACAGAAAGGAGACTGTACAAATTATGGATGGAGCTGAGAGCTATTGGTAGAAACAGAGAGAGAACAAACCCGAGTGTTTAGTGCAGGCAGGGAAGTACACATGCTTGTAAATGAGTTGCTGCTTCTCAGCAAGGACACAGGCAAACTGCAAGCTTAGTGGTAATCTTGGATGGCTTCTGCTTCTAGAACTTCACTTGAAAGACAGTTGCAGGCAGCGAGAAATTCCACAAATGGAAAATTAATTAAACTTTCTTTTCTTCTTGGTCTCATGTGGATTCTTCCTTTGATTCTTCTGACATAGGGAGCCTGGAGACTGATAGGAATTTACCTGCGAGCTAAATGGAAATTACAATGGAAGGGCTTCAGAAGAAATATATAGAGAATCCATTAAATGTGGATTCAACTTGATAAAGTTAATGTGTGCGTAATTGCAATATTAGCTGCTCTTCACGACCAGCGTCTGAGGAATCGTAGGCTCTGTTTTGTTTGGAACAAAAAGGCACTGAAACCGCAAACACTGTGCAAGTCTCACAGCCCCATCTGTTACTGTAATTTTTGCCTGTTGCAGTTCCTATGATTGTCTGCGTGATGATCCCTTCGAACACGACTGGCCTTCCCTTCCACAGCTGCCAGGAATTCACTACTCCATGAATGAGCAGTGTCGTTTTGATTTTGGTTTGGGCTACATGATGTGCACAGCTGTGAGTACTTAAGTTTGGCTTCTGCTATTTCTCATCTAGGAGTGTTGTAAGTGTCTCTGAAATGTCCTTAATAGGGACAGAGTAGAGGAAGGAAAGATGTTGTGACACTTAGCTGTAAGCAAGGAATAACAACTGAATGTTGACAAATATGTTATTTTAAGTATCTCTGTCTTATTTTTTTAAACGACAGTTACAGAAATAATTATTCCGTAGTTTCATAAACAGCTGTAGACTTCAAGCAAACAAACTTGCTTCATTATTGAGCCTCTTATTGCTGGGAGCTATTTTGCTACAAAACTCCCACCCAGATGTGAAGGAGATGGATTTGGTGGCACATCTTGTAGTGCTAACACGGGGCAGTATGCTTTTATGATCCAATTTTATGGAAAGTGTGATGCATTTTGATGCCTAGCATGAGAAAATAACGGTGGCAGCGAGCAGAGCAACTCACAAGGACTCTTGATGGCATGTTTGGCACTCTTGTACCAGGAAAACAAAAGGCAAAGTCTAAATTTAAAGCAAGGCAAGATTCGTGCAATTCTCAGTGGACTGGCCTCAGAAAGCAGAGTCTTCTGCAGCAGGGCTGTGCCTCCCACCTCCAGCTCCTCAAGTAGGACAAAATATTAAATGGAAAGAGATGTTTTCAGCTGGTGTGGCAGCTGCTAGCACATAACATTTCTGCTTTGATTCCCATCTGCAGGAATATGTGTGCCGAGTGGTGTCTCTAGATAATGGATGAGAACCTTTAAAGCATCAGCTGTAGTATTATGTCTTGACGCAATTCCCACTGATGCTGCCTTGGAAGAATGTCCAAGCCAAAGACAGTCTCTTCTCCAGAGCCTGGGAGATAGAGGCTTTCTATTCTAGTTTGTTCAGAATAGCCAAAAGCATGTCCAGACATAACATTCAAGCATATTGTGTGGTGTGTGCTTCTCATCCTCTCCTATACAAGCTCTGGCATTGTAGGTAAAATGCTGATTTGTTCATTGGATTGGGGGCCTGAGCTCAAATTTCCATCCTCCTGAGGAGGTGATTGCTACAGCTGAGCTACAGTCTGAGCAGCTCATTTCCGTCTCCCACGAGTACTCAAGGATTTTTTGTTTTGTTTGCCAAATGAAGCAGCACCATTTGGAGAAGTTGTAACAAAAGGCAGTGTGTGTCTTACCATCTGGGGGAACTGGTTTCCCCCTTGCCCACTCTGCCTTTGGTCACTGGTATAAAACTATTTTCACCCAACCTTATTCCGTTGAACGCGGGTGGGATCTCACGTCAGAGTCACTGGTGATTTTGCATGAAAGCTCAGATATGCTCAATCCACAGACGCCGCAGTGTTCCTCAGGAATCAGTGACAACAGCCGGCATTTTACAGCTAGGGGAGGAAAAACCCCACCGTGCTGCAGCTTCCATTGCAGTTTCCAGTGGCAGCACTCTCGAAGCGTCGTCCACTCTGATTTTTCCTTATGTTTCAGTTCCGTACGTTTGATCCCTGCAAGCAGCTGTGGTGTAGCCACCCCGAGAACCCCTATTTCTGCAAAACAAAGAAAGGGCCTCCGCTGGACGGGACCATGTGTGCACCAGGAAAGGTGAGAGCGGGTGCTGCGTGTACGTGTTCACATGTGTTTGTGTGCAGTTGGGGATGTTCCCTTTCAAATCAAGGGCAACAAGAGAAGAACCTATCCGGAGTACTTGGAATCCACTAAGATGTGGAGCAAACTCTTGAATGGAAGTAAGGCTGTTGAGCAGTGTGAGGGGAGGCGGCAGGGGCCAGGGCTGGTGTGTCCTGCATGGCAGCTCTGTGACTGTCGAACCCCACACTCGTGCAAGTCATGGAAGTATCTGCATGTACTTCTTGGCAAGTCTTTGTGACAGAGTCAAAACTGGGGAAATTTCCACTCGCCCGTGACTTCTATGAGGTCCGGGGGTGTGTGTTTGTCTCAGTGAGGTTGTAGTGATGCTGAGTGGCCTCGCTGGCACTGGGGGTGCAGAGAGCAGTGAGGTCCTGGAGGTGACAGCCAAGCCAAGGCCGCTGTGGCTGCCCCGTGGGAAAGGATGGATGTGGGAGTCGAGTGCTGGCTAGAGAGAGCAAATATGACGGCAGAGAGCGACTGTGAGGAGCAAAGGGCAGATTTGAGGAGGTGGATTTGCTGGCTGGATGGGATTCAAGGGAGGCATGAGGGACTGTAGGGGGAAGTTGCGAGGTGGCAAGGGCTCAGACGGCTCCGACCCCTCGTCCGCCATGCTGGACCTGCTCCAGGTCTCAGTTATCCTTCTGCAGATCTCACGCTGTGCTCATAGTGGATCTGAACTCCAAGTCCTTTGAAGTCTACTGAAAAAGTCTGGCTTCCCTGGGCTTTGGATGCAGTGAATGAGGGGGAGAGGAAGGTGTCGCTACTTGGAAAGATGTTGTGTAAAACCCAATGGGTGACATCATTTATGCGATAAATGAACCGTATTAGCAGCTGCTGTTATGGTTTTAAATGTCTTTTTTATGAAAACATAATGTAATGCTAAATTAATTCCCGAACAAGTCATGCTCTACATAAACCACTCCCTTCTGGTTTTCTCTTCTTTAGATTATTCCTCTTATAACAGCTTTGTTTCTTGTTTAAAAATATATCTATTTTTAAATTACAATCCAAAATTGTAGATGATTTCTTTGGATTCACTTTTCTATATCTTGATTTTTGTATTAAAAATATTCATGAAAGCCCCAGAAAAATACAGTTATATTCCATTTTGTTGCATCACCCTCTTCCCTGAGCCATTCATTCATATTTAGTATTTGAACAGAAATGAGAAGAAAAAAAGAACTTGTAACCATACAGTTAAGGATCTGTCAGTGCTTCCATTATAAACAGTTTGTCAGGATATTATGCAACTCAGCTGTAAAAATTTTCTCTGGACTGGAACTTGGGATCCAAGGCTTCAGCAAACTGTGCAGACAGCCAGGCTTTTTAGTTCAGCGGAGGTGCAAGAGAGTATGTGCACATTCTGAAGTTTCAGTAGATGATAGGACTATGACTGTTTTATTCCCAGAGGAGCTGTCCCAGTTTTTTGATAAATAAACTTATTGCAGCCTTCCAGGAGAGCCTGAGAAAATGATATAAAATGAAAACCATTTTGTTAGATAAGGCTCAGCAGTCTGAGCTAAACACTTTTTTTAAAAAAATAGCATGAGTTATGAAGGTTATACAACTGACTTTGTATATCTGAGCTCAGCATTTGACCAGTGTATTTATTAGTTGTTGGTGTTTTTAATACAGGCACATCAGATCAGTCCTTTTCCATCTGTTTCTTTCCTTTTCATCCCTGCCTTTGATTTGGCCTTTCCCTGCTCACTCTCTTCATCGATTTGGACAATACCAGAGACTCTTACCTGAAAGGACTGTAAAATGCATCTATTGCCCAAAGCTGGGACTCGGTTGCAGTGTGGCAGCTTCCTTTAAGATACATCTCCCATGATACCTCATCAGCACATGAGGAAGAGGAAAATAACTTCAAACTTGATCCACTATTTTCTTTGGAATAACGCCAGAAAAGGAAAGAACAGAAACATAAGCAATTAAAGATGTTGATTGAAAAAGATCCATTTGTTTCCCACTTTAGAGACTTGCAGTTTTCGTGATTTCATACCACTAATTCCCAGGGCCTATTTTAAGCTCAAACCAATCACAACACTGCTGATGTGTCAAAGAAACATCCTGGCTTTGCAGCAGCTGAGGGGACCGAGTGCCAGAAATGAAAGCGATGTTCGGGAGACTAACACGGCGTATGGTGTGTAGATGTTCTCACCTAAGCCTGGTGTTCAGATAACTGATAACGGGTCTCTTCGCTTTCCCAAACTGAGCAGATGCTATTGAGGAGAATCCTCTCCAGCTGCCTCCTTCATGACTGACGGATGGGCAAGGGGCGAGAACACCTATGGGAGACACGAGACCCTGAGCACGTTTTCAGCGCGCTCGCTGATACGGGGCCGTGTCTCTGCACACGTAGGCTGTGTCTGGGACCGAGGCACTGACCCTTAGAAATAGGAGGAAGATTAGACTTTCTAATGCTGCCTATATGTGTGGATGTATGCATGTATGCAGACATATAGATGTATATTTAAGTAAATATATGTAAATGTATGTAAGCTCTTCTGTGCATGCACTTATTTGAAGTGAGTTGCCAAAAGAGTGAGGTTCTGCCATTTCAGAAACTTTTTAATAAGTCTCCTTGTGCAAATGGAGACGTTGAACAACCATTATGTTAATTGGCAGCAAGCTAATCATTTGCTGGGTTTAGGGACAGAAAAATAAAATATTCTCTTGGAGCTTCCCAGCCAGAGAAGACTACTATTTTTATAGAATCCTAAAGGAAATAGAATATTTTATATCACTCCCAGCCTGATTTTTTTTAAACTAGATTGAGTTTTCAATAGCAAGAGGGAAGATTCTGTCAATTTTGTGAAGCTTCGATTGGAATTGCTTCTGTGTCTGAATGGTCACATTAACTTGCATGAAATACCTCCGGCGTGTAAAGTTAAGCACATGGAGGGCTAGAGTCTTAATGTGAAGTCAAAGACACTCCATAAATTGCTATAGTAAACCATGCAGATGAGGCACAACTGTGCAAAGCTTAACTCTGCGTGGCATTCCGTGGGTTACAAAATACATGCTTTCAGCTGATAGTTTATTTACTGTTCAATTCTGTCAGCTCCACCCTTAGCCTCAGGCTTCTGAAGCCAGGCAACCTTCAGAAATATATCATCAGTTTTTGTTCCGTTTTTTTAAACTATTACTCTTCTGGGGAGACATTTATATTGGCTGAAGTAGCTAACTGCTCTCCGCAGGATAGAAATAAAACCCAAAGTCATTCATGCAAGGAGATTGCGTGCTCGAGTCCATCTGCTTGCTGCAGTGACTACCGCAAAGGTTTGCACCACCTGAGCCTCCTTTCTTCCTCTTCTTGGAGAGAGGGAAGAGCCTGGTACCTGCCCTGGCAGCCGAGCTGAGGTTGCTCTTGGGTTTGGCTGATGTGCCCGGGCCCCAGCACAAACCTAGCAGGTCTTCTCTTTGCTTCCGCCGTACTAACGAGATGATCTGAGTCAAACTTGGAATGATTTTTCAGTCTGTCAGGAAAGGAAGGGAATGATTAAATATTGAAATAAATAGATATTATTGAGAAGAAAAATGGACTGAGAAAAAAGGTTTCTGAAAACACTAATGTGTACTCAAAGCAATCCAGATAATTTCCCACTGAGAAAGCTGACCTCAGCTTCTCTCGGAGACGGGAGACAGATGGGTAAGTGTATGCTGTGTTAGTCACCACAGAAACAGTGAGAATACTTGATTCTCCACTGAAGAAACTTTTACTGGCTCGGGGTAGACTTTAGTATTAGAGCTTTCAGTTTATCCCTTGCAACTAATTATTCTCAAACAGATGGAGCAGAGCGGGCCAGGCTGCCTGTGATGGGAAATACAAATAAGTAAGTAACCCTCTCCTGAGGAGAGCGGGGAGAGCTGAGGGCCACTAGCCCTGATATAAAATAAGTAGAGATACCCACAGAAGATCTGCAAGTCTTTCCTTGAAAAATTAACTTGCAGATGCGCTAAGCCCACAGGAACACACTGCCTCTTTTTTTTGGCGTCCACAGCAGTTGTTTCAAAGAACTGCTGAAAACAGCAGTGGAATGTTTTACTGCAAGAGATTTAAGCTTCCTCTCCTGGAAATTGCACTTGTTTTGGACTGTCCTGTTTGCCAGAAAAATAGGCAAGACTGCAAGAAGTCATCTTGTCTTCCACTAAGCAAGCAATTCGCATTTACCCAGAGTTTTTTTTTCGTCTCATTAAAAAAAAATAATAATTAAAATATTGCTTTAGTATGCTTCAGTCTTTAAATGGACCCCCCTGTTCATGAAGGGAATAGTGGTTGAAACTGGCTCTTTTCCACCTCATTATGTAGTTAATGTAGTAGCAATTGGGAGGGTTGGCTCTAGCTTCCTTCACTACGCTGGAGATTGTTCCGTCTCTGGTTTTACCTTCTCACGCGTTTTCTTGCATGGGGCTGCACAGCGTAACACTTGGTTGTGAGTCATTTTGGTTTATGTAGGCTCCTTTCTTTTAATCCACAAACAAAAAGGCAGAGCTGGGAATGACTCATTTTACACAAATGCTTGTCTCCTAATAGCTCTGCCTCAGCTTCCCGGCAGTCGGCGTATGACCAGCTTCCCCAGTAAAAATCAGTGCTGCTCTTTCCTTTACGCAGCAAAGTCAATAACACTTCTCCATGTTTGCCTTCCAGTTCAGGGACCAGTCACAGTGTCAAATAGTTGCTTTATTAGTGGTTGTTGCAAACCCACATCCCCCTGTTCCTGGCTAAAGCAGGGAAAAGAGATTGGGAAAACAGAACATCACATGTCTCTCCCTCTCCTCCGTGGAGTCCAAGTACTGCATCCTGGATCATTGCATAATGAACACACGCTACGAGGCTCTTGAAACGGATTCAGTGATTGCTGTGGCGCTTACACCTGAGGGATGCAGAACCCTGATAGAAGGATTTTTGAGCAAGAACAGATCAGGAGCTGTCCCATCTCCTCTGTTTCCAAACCCAGCTGAAATTTGTATTGACAAGCTGATGCGCTGCCAGCTTCCCCTGCGTCTCTGAATGGTCCCATTGCCACCCAGGGCCCGACGACTCCAACTGTTCTTTCAGACAAACCTCTCTAAAGCCATAAGTAAACAGTCCCTGAAGGGTACAGCGCTGAGCTTCAAAACCGAAGAAAGCAAAGGACATATTAGCATTTTGCTTTTCTGTCATGCTTTGCTGAATTATCTCTTGTTCTGTCAAACAGCTAAGAAAAATCTGCCCATTACAGCTCTGGAGCAGGATTGGTATAATTGGCTTTGTGGTAACTCATCTATTTCATAGGTTTTGACTTTGAATATTTGAAGCTATGAGAAAGAACAAATAGCTGAAACATAATTTCTGCTCTCTTTTCTACTCCTTGTCCAACCAAATCAGCACCAAAATAAATTACATGAATAAAGAGCCAGTCATTGAGGAGATTAGCAAATCAGTAAGCTGTGCCTTGTCACCATTTTACTAATGATTCTCTCTTTAAATTCAGCATTATTAATGATTAGCCATCACTTTTAAATTTGTCTTCCAGACCACTAATCGCTCTATGCTTAAGAACTCTCTCCTGTTATACATCTTCTGATTTTGTTTTTGCTGGCAGCATGCAGTTAGCCATATGCTCGGCTTGTGCCGCCTGCCAAATTCCTGCGTTCCAGGGCTTGTTAGCTGTGTAAAATGTTGTTGTTGACTTGAATGTTAAGGAAAGTAAGTGACTGATTGCACTTGTTGTTATAGCCATCTGTGCGGCTGAGCCAGAGCTCTTATCCCGACAGTAACCGTTAACGCAGACAAACTGCGACAGTCTAACGCAAAGTCGTTTGTTGAGCTGGAAATATTTTCCAGCACCCGCACTTCATTAGTAGACTTTTATGGAAGCAGAATTAGTACCGGGAAGGGCCAGAATCTGGGATCCTTGAGAAGAATTTGTCCTGACTTCAGCTAAGTAAAAATTCCCTGATCAGGGACTGAAGGAATTGGTGGAAAGACATCGGTGGGTTTCTTTAACGAGAGAAGTCAGGAGTATCAGTACTGAAGCTATGGAGGCTCTTTAAAAAATGTGTCAATACTTTATAGGTTTGGTGAACATAGCAAATTGTGTGTTTCAATCTCTGTGGAACGACTTTAGTAAAAATCAGGTAAAAGAAAAGAGGAAGCTGAGTAGGGCATGATTAATTGCGCAGAAGTGGGACTGTCCAGGGCTGCTCTCTGGTGCGTTGGTCAGTTTTGCCATGAGATCTCCAGGGAGACTGCAAGAGTTCTTTATTTAATAGCAATAATGTCTAAAATGTGAGCTGGTTTTAATTTCATGCCACTTTGTTGAGCGCATTTATTGCAGGAACATGTATGCCGAGTTAGGAGCTGCTGGGAAGGAGTGCTGCGGTGGGAGCTCCTGGCAGCACTGCCTGACGTGGCTCCGCGCAGGGACGGAGGCAGAGTTTCACCTTTAGCCCCCAGGATTTGGGACTTTGCTACTTCCCTTAAATGAATCTATCTTAGTTATGCTGCAGACATGTGATGAAGGCTTGTAATGCTGTGAACTTGGTAGGCTTGAATCCTGCAAGCACATATGTGCATATTTAATGCCTGCAAGTTCATAAAATCTGTGTGAGTTTGGGATCGTGGGCACGATCTGACGGCAGTGAACTTCACTACTTTCTCCTGGTTAAAAAAAAATCCAGTATTTGTGCCTAAAATTAAATCTGTTGTACCACAACTTCTCATATGATGTGATTTCATCATCTAATCATTTTGACATCTGATTTTTGTCTTTTAGCATTGCTTTAAAGGTCACTGCATCTGGCTGACACCAGACATCCTGAAGCAGGATGGACACTGGGGGGCATGGAGTAAGTTTGGCTCTTGTTCTCGCACCTGTGGCACCGGGGTGAAATACAGGACACGGCAGTGTGACAATCCCCAGTAAGTATACAGACACCCGAGTGTTTTTCTGACGTGGAGCAAACAAATGGAGGGAATCCTTGCTAAATTACTAGTGTAGTAACGCAGTAGAAGATGTTGAGTGGCGCTTGTTAAATCTGACCTATTGTATATGTTGTCAGGAATTCTACTTTTGGCCCTTAGCAAGTCATGAATCATCTTTATTTCTCAGTGTATCCATCCATTAAGCTGGTTATGCAGTTACAAGGATCTTGAAAGTGCTATTGCGTTATTGCATCAAGCATAAATAAAAGTTTAGGGCCTTATTTATGTCTTATTTTAATATGTGAGTATGAAATAATGGCAGGGATTTCCTGGATTTTTTAAATTCATATACCTTTTTCAATATTTTGTTTAATCCATCTTTTTTTTTGGTTTTTCAAGAAGGTCTTAAAATATTTGCAAACTATTTTCATTCCAAGTTGGATCAAAGCTCCAGAGATCACAACCTTCCCCATAGTTAGTTTTAGTAATACTGAATTGCTTTGCTTCAATAACTTATATATGGCTCATCTAGATAACGTAGAATGACTTAATTTCAGTAACAGTGAGAGTATAATATATTTAATATAGATTGGTATGTACAAATGATATGAAATGTATAATTATTGCTATCTTATTGTGATATCATAAAATGTCAAGATCCTTGACATCCAACAGCAAGAACTGAAACAAATGTCAGAATTAAACGATTTTACCAGACAGAATATTTTTAACATTGATTTTCTCAGTTTTTGCTGACAAAGTGGTTGAACTTGACTAGTGTTAAAAATTGTCTTATCATTGATTAAGAAAAAACCCTCAAGTTTTATGAAGCAGCATCTTCTGGTGGAAATTGTTCTGTTAAGAAAGAATTTACCAGTTCTCATTTCAGCCTTTATTACATTGGCAACATGAAAGTGACCTTTATAACTGTAGCCACAGTTTCAGTTGTAGAATTTATTTTCACATAGGAAGGGCCTAACGTACTACTGAAAATGTTTTCTGTGTTGCTGTAAGAGGATGCAAACCCAGCTATGACTCCTGAGCTCTGTGCTGCCAGACCCGACAGTGAGCTGATGAACGTCTGCCGGGGGGACGCAGCCGGAGCTGGGCTCCCTTTCTGCATTTGCTGCTGGCTTAGGGGCTGAATGCGAATGAGCTGCTCCATCTGCTTGTGTTTGCCCTTCCCGGGCAAGAAAATGGCTTTTCTTGCCTTTATCAAGTGGTTTGAGGCTCTACTTGCAGAAATTGCTTTTTAAGAGCTGAATAGCAACAGCAGATTTTTAAAGGAAATACATATTTTCCGTACCAGAAATACATGGCTGGCTTCGTCAAATGCCCGCTGATGTGACTGGGGATTAAATGACTCCTCAAAGGATTTGATAGATGCTTGATTCAGGCATTCATGGCAAAACCCACCATGGTTTTCTCTCCTCCCCACAGTCCGGCCAACGGAGGCCGCACGTGCGTGGGGCCGAGCTACGAGTTCCAGCTGTGCAACACTCAGGACTGTCCTAAGGACTTGGAAGATTTCAGAGAGGAGCAGTGCCGGCAGTGGGATCCTTACTTCGAGTACCAGAACACGAAACACCACTGGCTCCCCTATGAACATGTCGATGGTGAGAAAAGATTTTCATTTTCCTATGAAAAGTAAAATCAGTTGCAAACGTGACTAAAAATTATATAAGGAGGGGTAAAACTGTTTCTGGGGAAATCACGCCTCAAAAATCTGTTGCGAGTTATTTGGAGAAACAGGTGAGTATCAGCGTATGAGTGATCCGATTCATCTAATGTACTCGGATTTTCAAAATCTTTGGACCCTGTTCCCCAATAACTGCTCTTAAACTGAGTTATCGTGAGATAAAAGGGAATGGTCTTGCATGGGGGTGTGCGTCCCACGAGGATGGGCGCTGGGAGTACGGGTGCCGCTGAGCACGCGTAGCGGTGAGCTGGGAAAGGGAGCAAACGAGGTAACGAAATTACTCAGGCTAATTAAAATAAGAAGGCCCACAGGGAGAGCTGCAGAAGGACCTTGTGACACTAAGTGACTGAATGTGGCTATGAAGTTTGGCATTGATAAATGCCAATAATTGATACGGGGATAAAAAATGGTGTGTATGGGTCTGTACACAAGGTTGTGTCTGAAGAGAAAGGTGTGGGAGTTGGGGATAGCTTTTGGAAAACGTCATTTCAGTGACTGGAGAGAGGGATGGAGAGAGGGATTCTGATCTGCCTCAGAATACCTGCATGATGCCTCTGCATTTTAAACACTCCGCCAATGTAGCTCAGGTTGTGCCCATCTCACTGCTGCCCCCATTGCTAAAAATCCCACAGTTGAACTCAGAAGGGCTCGAATAAAGCGAACATAAGCAGTGACTTCAGAATAAGGAGAGTTTAGATAAACTAGAACTTTTCACCCTGAAAAAGGGATGATTTAGATTAAAAAGATAAAGTTACAGAATTGTGAGTGGCATGAAGAGAATGAACACGGAATGGTTATTCACCGTTTCTCATAACACAAGCCTGGGAACATCAAATCAGGTGGCAGATTTAAAACAAGTAAGAGGAAGGACTTTTCTACACAGCATATAATTAAACTGGAATTCGTTGCTACAGGAAGTTGCAGATGCCAGAAGGTTTTAAAAGTGATTTAGAGAAATTCTTGAAAGTTCTATAATCCATTAAGACCTATTAAACACTGAGCTCCAGCCATGACTTAGGAAGTTCCCAAGCTGCGGTTTACGAGGAACTTGGGGAATATTCTGAGAAAAGTACCAGGTTTGTTCTTACATCTTCCTGCAAACACTGCTGGCACTGTCGGAGGCAGGTGTTGGGTTGGATGGGTGCTGGGTCTGGACCAGCATGGTCAGTCGCGTGTTCCAGCGTCTCCACAGAGGTTGCCTCTTTGCACAAAAATGTTCCTTTTACTGTTAACGCCTCTGCTTAACTGTCAATGAGGGTGCAGGTGGTTGATTTGGGCCGTGCATGCTGTTGCCGTGCTATTGCCACGGTACGTTGAAAACATGCCGAGAAGAGTTTTTAACAAACAAAAAGGCGGAGGGCAGTGATTCTTAACTTGTTTGACAAGGAGTGTGGGCTGCTCCCCGTTTTTAAACCTGGTCGCTTCGTTTGAATGAGTGCTTCAGGGCAGGGTTGGCCGGCAAAGGACAGGTACTGGGCACCCGAGCTGTCCTCGGCCAGGCACCCATCTCGGGGAGGGAAGGGTCACTTTGGGTGAATCATTTTGCATTCCAGTGAGAGGATACTCTGCCAGAAGTTAATAGCAAATTCCGTGTAATTAATTTGCCTGACTTTCTTCCCAAACAGTTCTCAGGGTTCCCTCATTCTTTTCATGTCATCTTGTGCAATCTGGGATTTTCAGAGGGGCAGACACAGCCTCACAGCTTAATTTCATGAAATAGCTTTGCTGGCACAGGGAGAGGGGAGGAACGCTGTGGCCTGCAGGACCTCTGCTTCTGCTTTAGCCTTCGGAGCAGTCTGCTGCAAAGACCACTGAAATGAATCAGAAGTTTTTCTATTAAATTCAATGGCTTCTGGGTCAGACACCAGCTCACTGACGTCTGAGCACTGATCGCTGGGCACCTCTGGTTTCCTGTATAGCTGTGGTATCACTGCAGCCCCCTTTGCGACCGTGACATTTACCCGTGCAGGGTTATTAGGGGGAACAGCCTTTGTGTGAAAACAAGGCCAGAGGGTGGCTTATGCTTGAACTCCAATGTGTGTAAAACACCCTTTTGTAAAGATAAGGGGTATCAGTAACATACTTTGTGCAGATAATGCAGTCATGGCTCAAAGTGGCATAAATCCTTATGCCTGACACGCAGCTCAGCTGGACGTGTCTGACACATTGTGTATGCGATGGGGACAGGGAGCAGCATCTCATCCTGCGGCCAGAGAAAAGCTGCCGAGCTGCGGTACGGCACCCACGGTTACGATTCTGTAACTCTATTTTTTTAATCTAAACTGTCACTTTTTCAGGGTGGAAAGTTCTAGTTTATCTAAACTCTCCTTATTTCAAAGTCACTGCTTACGTTTGCTTTATTCGAGCCTTTCTGAGTTCAGCTGTGGGTTTTGAGCACCCCAGTGCCGTGTCGTGCCATGGGCTCTCTCCGGCTCCAAACACCCAGAGCATCTCATCTCCCAGCCGCTGCTGGGCTCATGTACCCCTGTTCCATCCATCTATCAGGGCAGCATAGAGTGACATTGGCTATTAGCTCCCAGCCTCAGTTAAATGAGAAGGAAACGCATGGGGAGCAGGGAACGGACAGGCACATGGTCGTGTCCACGCTCCTGCATCTCTACTGTGCCCAACACCAGTGAATAGAAAGAAGATAATTCTTTGCAATTAACAGGGTCCAATTTAACGGCGCTTGCACATTTACGGTTCCCATGGAGCAATGGGAAGAGAACCCTCTCTAAAATAAAGCCCTGTGCAGAGCTGTTGGCACCCGGTCAGACCTCCTGATACGCTCATTTAATCGCGTACAGTGAATGTATGGTATGCGTGGGGTGGGTGTGGGTGCATACCCAGGGTGTGTGTACATGTCTATGTATGTGCATAGTTTAATGTTTCTAATATATGCAAATACATTAGGTCCGTGATTATTATGATCTTAATAGTACCCTATTAAGAATCTGCACCCAAAAAAAGTAAAGTACCTGTTTTAATAGTGTAGACCCTACATTTCTAGCGTGACATCTCTGCGTTGTTCAGGAGCAGTAACAAAGGTCTCCGATGTACCAATACCCAGTGGCCGTGAGCACATCAACAGCAATAACAAGGACTTTATGAAAAGAGGGCAGAGGCCATGGAACTGTACAGGGGAAGAACGCAAAGGGCCTGTGAAGATTTATTTTAATTGAACCGCTATAACAGAAAGGTCATTATTGTTTTAAATGGTGGGAAAAGTGTCCCAACTTTTAATCACGTTAAAATAGCAGAATCTTTATTTGTTTCGTCTAACAGAAAGGCCATCTGCTCTTCACTGCCAAGGAAAGCATAGTGTATCCTATTAGGAGGCTAGGGACAGCAAGAGCGATAGGTAAAATGAAATACACTGGCAGAATTCAACTTTACTCGGCCACTGACTCGTCATTTCAGCTTTACTTTTTGTTCTTAGCTCTTTGGAACAGGTTAGGAGGAAGAGGTGCACTTGTCCGGCTGTTTGTGCATGTGTTAGCAAGAAAAAAAAATATTTCTGAATGTCTTTGACATCCCATCTTGTTTAATGATTTAAACTGTCATAAATACAAGTACAACAATGAGGGAGAATTAACATCATGTTTAGGTGGAAACGGTATGGCCCAGCTGCCTCTGAAGATGTTTTGCATGCCAGATTCACTCAGTGTCAAACAGCTGCTTTTAATGGCAAAATTACTTTTGCATTTTTCAGATTTAAGTGCAGTGCAGGAGAAACAGATGCAGAAACCCGCATCTCTCACAGGTAGTCACGTAGCAGACTGTGGAAAACTCGGCCAGATTGCATCATCTGACAAATAGAGGCCCCGCCGATCAAAGGAAATGATCTGTTCTTTTTAAGGCTGTCTGCTAATGATGACACATGGCTGCTTTATGATTCAGCAGTTTCCAAACTATCACGTAGCCTTTGAAAGGGGATAAGCATCGATGATTTATGGAGTACCGTATTGTGTTCTGTGATGTATGCAAGGAAGAAGAGATTGCTAACACTATTGAAAGTGCTGTTCACGAAGTCAGCAACTACTGTTAGAGCTGAACATGCACAATTTGGGTTATTTTATTTTTCAGCTAAGGAAAGGTGCCACCTGTATTGCGAGTCAAAGGAAACAGGGGATGTGGTGTACATGAAACGGATGGTACACGATGGGACCCGCTGCTCCTACAAAGATGCTTACAGCATCTGTGTGCGGGGAGACTGCTTGGTAAGCTTTTGATGGCTTGTTTCGGAGCTTAGTATTGTGAAAACGCTTAAAATGGCAGCTCGAGTGTTTCTCTCCAAGAATGACTATTTGAGTAAGTATAATAACGCTTTGGGCAATAAGGAGATTTCATTAGAATTATTGTCACAATATTATGTGTGATATTCACAGTTGCCATCACATTACATGTGACTCAATTCCAACAGCGCCTACCTACACAAGTAATATTTAATGCAGCATTTTAAAATGAACT